ATTCAACTTACCAGACTATTGAACAACTAGGAAAAGTGAAAAAAAAACTTCTTATCACCAGCATAAATGCGTAATTATTTTTTTTACAAAAAAAGTATTTTTTCACTTTTGATTGAGTAACGCACTGTAGAATGCAGATACGGACATGGCAAACACACCTTTGAAAAGCTTGAAGTCTGGCGATTCCAAAAATATATACTTTCCTGGGTCTATTTGTAGTCGTTTGGTCACAATTGGAAGATGAAAACAAGTATGCAAATAATAGTCCCGCTACCTTAAACCCAGTGAAAATTAGTCATTTTACAGTATGTTTAAAGTTTGAAATGACTGGTTTAGTGTTGCACAATGGGGATTGTGTCATGATATGAATTGCCTATTCATGAAATAATCATTTAGTGGACATGGTTTATTTCAGCCAATTCTTCACAATGGTGCCTTGGACAGTTTACTTTCAAATCTGATGGATCCAACTTCTGCCACCAGTGTACAAATAGAAGTCACAGCAGCTCTTGCAGTACTGGCTGGAGATGGTAAGGAATAAACTACATGCACAAGACATTGATGATGGTTTTAGAATATACTAGAATAGTTTATGAATGGATGAATTGAAGTGTCACTGTTGTGTGAACTGTGCATATGCATAGGAAGAATTCCCACTACAACAAATGTTGCATATTGATAGCGGCTATGTGTTTTAGATTGTCTAATACTGTAGGGTTTCATTAATAAGTGAGATGCACCATGGGAGTACCGCCATGTTGTAGGGCTTCATTAATAAGAGAGATGCACCATGGGAGTACCGCCATGTTGTAGGGCTTCATTAGTCCCTGTTCGGTCGCAACGTGTGTCCGGACCTATATCTTAGAGATGCCTGGACTGATTACATTCAAACTTCACACATACATCATACATACCGGTAATATTATACATTTGCACATCAATTTGTTTCGTGATTTGATTCAAGATGGCTGAATTGTTCAAACTTGGTGCATACGTTGGTCATTATGGGACCTTGATGCACGTCATTTTGTTTTTCAGATAGGATATAAAATGGCCGACTGGCAGCTATTTAGTTTTCATGAATGCAGTTTTAGTTCCATATCTCTGCCATGCTTTTACTGATTATGTTCAAATTTTATATATTCATTATAGATCATGTCATAGTTGTACAAATGTATTTGTTTGAGTATCTGATTCAAAATGGCCGAATGGTGGCCATTTCTGTGCTGAAAAATCATCTAAATCAAGCACTTATGAATGGATTTTGTTCAAACTTGGTACATACATAAGACATTATGAGTCCTTGATGCACCTCATTTTATCTTTCAGATCAGATTCAAAATGGCTGACTGGTGGCCATTTTGTTATAATGAATGTGGTTTTCGAGCCGTATCTCTGACATGATTTGACTGATAATGTTAAAATTTTATATATTCATTCTACATCATATGTTATAGCTATTCAGATGTATTCAAAATGAACAACTATTGGCTATTTTGTTTTAATTAATGCTGTTCCACAGCAATATCTCAATATGGACAAGTACTCCTTTGACGATCAGATACAAAATGACTGAAGACAGGGACTCTGTCCATCCGTCCGTACGGAGTCATATTTCAGAATCCGTCAGACCAATTCCGTTCATTCTTTGCATGTGCCTAGTACTTTATGTGGGACATATGCACATGCAGTGGTTTAGCGATTCGATTCAA